TTAAAGGCTTCCAAATTAGTTAAAATTTTAAATGAATGAATTGCGTTCTTAGGATGACGTCACTTAACCGTTATGAATGAAATTGTCAGTTTCATACGCTACTAGTATAAGTAAAAAGTGCTTCATGAGAATATCCGTTTTTGTAATTTCTGTTTAAAAATAATTGATATGTTATATGCAAGAAAAAGAATCAAACACCGGCTGTCGGTACAGACAGGAATATCTAGCTCTCGGTTGACTGTTTACGGCGGAAACTCGGCAGAGCCTCGTTACCGCCGTAAACAGTCACCCTCGAGCTAGATATTCCGGTCTGTACCGGCAGCCGGTGTAAGATTCTTATAGTATTAGACCTTTACCAAGATTGTTTAAATTATAGCCCTGGGGTCAAAATTGGCTGATTCATTGATTTTCATTATTTACATATAGTAAAAATAACTATCTAAGAAATAAGTAATGTTTAATTGAAAAAAAAGTTTTTTTAAGAAAAAAATGTGACTGTATTTAAAGTTTAAATACAGTAAACACCTATCAATTTAAATATTGCACTACATATGGCCTTTGTATCTTAACATTAGACACCACTGCACATTTATTTTCATATGTCATGCTGAAATACAATATGAACTTGATCCCAAAATTCATTAGACACATCTGCATCAATATGGCAAAGTTCAATTGTATAGAACAAAAAAAAATTACTTCTGATCTTATATATTTTGGCCCCTGACCCATACAAAGCAGTGTAATCAATGGAGGATTGTCTAAAATAAGCATGCATTTTACTTGTCATGAGTAAATGTTAGTGATTAATTAAAAAAATTTGTTTTAACAAGAAACAATAAGACAGGTACAGGTAATAAAGTGGCTTCATTAAAAGCAAAATGTAGCCAATAATACTTAAGTAAATAGTAGAAATTATACAAAACTAACTGTGGTAGTTTAAAGTATCTCAAAAGTTTTAATTACACTGCTTTGTATGCTCAAGAATGAAACATATTTGAGGGCGACATGTTATGAAATACTTTTCATTTTGGATAAATGTACTCATGCTAATTGAAAGTAAATTACACAAGTAGCTACTGACAATTGTTACTTATATTCATATACATGTAATCTTAAATTAATCAAAATAAAGAAAGGGAGAAAAGAGATATAGAGAACAGGTGGCCAGGATATAAAAAATATGTTTAATGGTCTAAAGATTGTAAAAACTTGAAGCTGTTATTGGTCAGGGAAAAATGGTCATGGTCAGGGAAAAGTCATGGAAAAGTCAGGGAATTTTGATTTCTCTTCTTTGTGGGAACCCTGATTACAGTGACCCCTGATAAATCATTGTTGGATCAATACTTTGGACAAGTCGCTTGACATTGACCAAGACCAGTTGACGACTTCTGTTATTAGACTAGAGGTCTGGTTCTATTCAGCTACCCATTTATACTGAAATTAAGTTTAAAGGAAGTCTTCCACCACCAGTGTAGCTAGAAAGTTGCAGTTATAACTAGAGTTCTGTTACTGTAAAATCCTTGTCTAGGTTATACTGTGATGAAGGCCCCCAAATTTACGTGCATTTTTGATTTTCATTTGTAAATCTTTGCAACATTTCTGGTTGTTTAAACAAAATAGCAAGGTTTCCTGATCGGAATATCTTAACCCATTACATCGCAATCCTAAGTTACAGATTTATTTATAATAGCCCTGGAAACTTCATAGCACTTTGTCAAACAAACATTGCAGTGCTTTGTTAAAGAAAAGAACATGATCAATTTTTTCTAACACATTGCGTTATTTCCCTTTCATCCCCTTGTTAAAAATCATATTTTTCACACAAGCCTGGCATCTCTGCACGATTTAAGTGTAGTCAAACATATATGGACACTATGTCCCTTACGATAGATTGCATTTGGCAGTCAAACATTTTTTTTTGTGATGATAACTTTTCTTAAGAAAGAGAATGCCCGATTGGTTTATATTTCCTTCAGGTGATGCAAATAGACCCAAAATTTTGAATTTCATACACAATGACAAAGTTTGACCTTAATTTGGTTCCATATATGTCCAAACCTACGCTACATGTTCGAGATAAATACTAACATGAATATTGCTACTGGAGGGACAAGTAGGGAGCAAAAACATATGCAGCATTTTTTCATTCATATAAAAACCCAAACAGGTTATCTTAGTACACTAAGCTTATATAATCAAAAGATGCAAGTAATAAATTCAGGGATTCAATTACATAAAATCAACTCCTCTAAAATCAGAATGTTGAAATTTTAAAGAAAACAACAACACATGAAATAAATACTTTTATTGGCTTGAAATGATAACTCGATCATTTTTGTAACAACACAGATATAAAACACAAAGATAACAGTCATGTTATTTTATGATTTATATATGCGCTACAGGGGCTCTCACATGAGATGTTAAAAATTTAAACATATTGTAAACTATTGCACCATTTTTATCAACACCCGATTAATAGGTTTTCATCAATTTCAAGTTCGTTTTTTCAGTTTTAAGTGTCTTAAAATATCAACAAAATGTCCAGTTAACATACAACAATAAAAAGTATGTTAAAAGCCCCTAATTATGACATAACATAATTTTGTCTTTAAATGTGAATGTAATATAAAAATTGAAGTGAAGTTGTTGAATCACCAAGAAGTACAAATTATGTTATGTCTACCGGTTCTTCTTGTTTTGTTTTACATGATTTATGAATGATACATTTTTATTAAGCTTCTGGAAAGACTCGCGACTTGCTGGCATCTGTAACAGGGGTTACTGAAAAGAAAAATACACAAAATTATATGCAAGTTTTTCTAGTATAGATCTAATAATAACAAGCAATTATCATAGTATTGCAAGCAATCCATAAGTCCCCTACCGGTTAGAACCCCATCAACATTCTGAAGGGCCATTGGCCATTCACTAATATTTCAATTTTTCTCTATTTTAAGTAAACTTGTTGGAAAAGTTCTTTAAAAGTGATCACAGGAAACAGTTTTTATGAACAGACAGACAGACGGACTGAAGGACACTCTAAAGTTAATATTTGAAACATCCCTGTTACCAAAATATAACATTTTAAAAGCAAAATTCTTAAAGAGGAGATAACTCTTGAAATAAAGATGCAATTTCATAAAAAATTTCAGTTCTTTTTGACTAATCACAAATATTGTTATATTTGCCATGTTTTAAGCCTATTTGTTGCCAAGGCAACTGATATTTTTTCAAAATAGGAAGAACAGATAAGACATGCATAATCTCAAGACTGCTATCTACCCATATGTCAAGTTTCATAAAAATATTTCCAGTACTTTTTGAGTTATCACTGGATTCAGTTTATGTGTAAAATTTGCCATATTTTTCAGTCTATGTGTTGCCATAGCAACCAGAATTCTCAACATAGGAAGAAAAGAAAAAGACGTGCATAATCTCAAGACTGCCATCTACCCATATGTCAAGTTTCATAAAAATATTTCCAGTACTTTTTGCTTTATCACTGGATCCAGTTTATGTGTAAAATTTGCCATATTTTCAGCCTATTTGTTGCCATAGCAACCAGAATTTTCAACAGAGGAAGAAAAGAAAAAGACGTGCATAATTCCAAGACTGCCATCTACCCATATGTCAAGTTTCATAAAAAATATTTCCAGTACTTTTTGCGTTATCACTGGATCCAGTTTATGTGTAAAATTTGCCATATTTTCAGCCTATTTGTTGCCATAGCAACCAGAATTCCTCAACATAGGAAGAAAAGAAAAAGACGTGCATAATCTCAAGACTGCCATCTACCCATATGTCAAGTTTCATAAAAATATTTCCAGCACTTTTTGTGTTATCACTGGATCCAGTTTATGTGTAAAATTTGCCATATTTTCAGCCTATTTGTTGCCATAGCAACCAGAATTTTCAACATAGGAAGAAAAGAAAATGACGTGCATAATCTCCATACTGCCATCTATCCACATACCAAGTTTCATAAAAATATTTTCAGTACTTTTCAAGTTATCGCAGGATCCAGTTTTGTGGACGGACGGACTGACGGACTGACAGACAGACGGACAGACGGACGGACAGACGGACAGACGGACGGAGGGTAAACCTAAAGTCCCCTCCGGTAAACCGGTAGGGGACTAAAAAGATGCAGTGTTATCATTTTATTATTGTATTTTTAAGCCAAAAACTGTCAATGTTTATTTTAATTTGATATAATTCATCCACAGCAACAGTACTTGAAATTAATACCCACAAACTTGCAAGATACAAATGGAATCCGAATACCACGAGGCATGTATAAAACGTATGTGACTAGTCCCGTCTCAGATCTCGTGATTTTTGTCGGTCAGTGCACAATCTGCACCATTTCTGACCAATAATAACTGAAATCCAAGCATGGGCTTGGACAAATTCTTTAAAACCTGGACATTCTTTTTTAAGCCAGTAAAATTGTAACAAAAGTGTTTGTTGCCATTCTGTTTGGATAATTCAGCGTTTTCTTATGTACAAAATTTATTTATCTTGTCTCAATAAAAACATCATTATACACATAAGTATACTTATTGCAAGTTATGATTCACTTCAGCATGTTCTTGCTGCAAACATTTTCAAGTACTGAACTGAAAGTGATCAGCCTTTGACACCATCATTAGCATATCTTTATTATTTTGTATTTGATACTGAAATCTGTAAAAACTACTAATGAACTGTTCCAGACTCAAGCAAGGAAAATCCTCTACACAAATTCAGCACGGTACAGGTTTAAAGTGAAATGTCTCCAGATGAGCCAAAATATTGTAATAATATCAAACTTAAGAAAAATATACCAAGGTTTAAGAAGTAAATATATTTAAGATTAAAGTAAAAATTTGCATGTTCTTTGTGATTAACGACTTGATTTGTTAGTATTTATTATGTACTTCTGGTAACGCAGTACAGGCTATTTTTGCATATTTTTACCTCTTTTTGTAATTAACATGGCTTGTAAGTGCCAATGATATGTGTAAACTCTTTTGGTTACTTTACAATCATATCCTTTTCAAATTTTCATGAAAATTATCTTGAATCTGGAGGAGTCCTGCTTTAAGTGTTCTTGATATTAACACCCACTGTACTTACGCATTTTTCTTCAATTAGACAGTGTTTCATAGCATACAATTTGATAGTACGACCATCCTCTGACCAAACACCAATCATTGGAGCCTGTTTGTATGCTCCTACATCAAAGCCTTCACCTATAAATGGTAATATCATAATATTAAAAACAAGATTGCATAATTTGTGAAAAAAATGCAACGCCACCACATTAATACAACACATAGGAACAGTATTTCTTTCTTTTTTTGTTTGTTTCTATACAATTTAAACTTTGCCATAATGCAGTAGTGTCTAGTGAATTTTGGGGTCAAGGTCATATTTCAGCATGTCAAATGAAAGACAATGTGCAAAGTGCCTAATGTTCATATGCAAAGACCATAGTAAAATGACTGGTTCAAATCCTTACTTGATAAAATTTAGGACTATTGGATCAAAAACCCAACACAAATTAAGTATCAAAACATGTTTCGCTTTATTCAGCTTCCTCAGTTGATAAAATTTAGACATTTACATAGCTGTATCAAACTTTGAAATACAGTTATTTATCTTAAATACAGATACTATCTTTTCAATAAGCATTACCCATCATATTAATGATCATTCTCAAATGATGACTAAATAATCCATATACACATCTTCATATTATTATCTGAACTTTGACCTCCGTGTTACCTTTAATGCAGGAACCTAAATTTAGCCCTGAGACACATTCTGACTCACCATGGTGATCTTTGTTACATTGAAATCCCTCTATGCATGTAAGTTTTGCAACAGAGTACAAACAAGCATTTTTTAATGAGCTCCAAGTGTAACTTTGGTCTTTGACCTAGAAACCCGATTCATGTGAGAGACATGGTTTCTCATAGCAGTGAAAATTTCTATGACGTTTCATTAAAATCTAGCGTGTCGGAGACATGCTCCAGACAAAATTGTATGAAGCCAGCCCACCAGAGGCATTCCCATAATATGTTGTGTTTTTCAAACGGACATATAATTAAGCAAGATTTAGGGTATCTGTATGTTCTACAAATCATACTTACGGACATAAACTGAAACATCATCGGAATATTTGCCCACAAATTGTTTAATGTGTGCTGACATGGCTTTTTTAAAGCAATCACATTTTTCTGTATCACCTTCTTCGGTAAGACCATCAACTACTCTGGAAATAAATATCTATTTATAGAATTTATCTTTAACACAAGTTGACCAAAAGATATTCATAAATTTAAATTAAAAGTATTAATTGTAACAAGACTGAAGAGGGTAATCTTTATTACTAACTCTCCATTGTTCTAATGCTTGAAATGTCATGAATCTTCAATGAAAAAGTATACCACAGTAACTGTAAAGGTGAAAGGCTTTTGCAGTTTCTGCAAAAATAGACCTTAACATTTTACATATTATTGGTCACAGGGCTCTTGTTAGCATTTTGAGACTGGGGTCAGGGTCCATGCAGGTGGGGAATTTTGTTGTATTAGACTTATGGACCTCCTTTTATGCTGTCAAATAAGTGTGTGATGTTTTAACCCATTTCCTTCAGTAGTTTTGAAGATATAAGCTTCCAACAAAGTGTGACGCCAACGCATGGGCGAGCAATACTTTGTATTCTTCAAATAGTGAAGCTTTAAGTGTGGACCCATTAAACTTTCAAGCATTTGCTACGTTGGCTTGGGGTTTAAATGTAGCTTCTGCAATTTCCAGAAAATTCCAAATTTTGTTGCAATGACTCAAGTTGGACACTTGTCAATTTTTAGAATTTCCAACTGAACTTGAATTACTTCAGTCTTTCAGAAACAAAGATATAATCTTAGTAAAAATCAATCATATTTAGCCATGATGTTTTTGTTTGTTATATGGGAACAATGATTTTTCATGAACCCACTCATTTTAACACAAGTTTTTCCACACTTTTTTGATTTTTGAAATTATCAATACACCTTTTATTTAATAAGTGATTGGGGGAAAGCACGTTCTTCTTCATTATTAATGTAAAAAAAAATATTAAAAATAAAAATTCACAATAATTACTTTTTGACAAACTTCTTCAAGTAGCTCACTAAACTTCCTTTTGATGGGAATAAACTAGCCTGTACATCCTCCAAATTGTTATCTAAGACAACATCAATGCCTGACACAGTCTCAGTGTCATCACAACACTCCTCTTCTTGCTCCTCCTGGGATGGGTTTCCACCAATAAGGTCAGCACTGATTGATTCACCCTTCTTGCGCGATACAAGCTGAAACAAACAAAGTAAACCCTGATATATTTTTTACATCATTCATCTTGATATACTGACTAATAATTGGGATGAATGGGAAGAAATCAAGGCCATCCATAAAAAATTGTTTGTTTGTAGTGCTCCGACCGACCCATGAAAATGGCCCCGACTCTAAATTTTTTTTACTCCTTCGAGGATTTTTTTTTTTTTTTTTTTAGATCATTATGTACCCATTCTGTTAAAAAGATCTTTCTCCAATAACTTTTCAGACAAATTTTGAACTGAGAAGTAGAAGAGTAAAAGAATTTTATTCCAAAACCAAAATAACCGCACGCTTTTCATCGATATTTTGCCAAACTTCGACCCCGAACATCGGCGATTTCACATTCCCCAGAAACCTTAAAATTTCGCAAAGGGCATAAAAATTCTCAGTTCCCAAGCCAAACATGTGAATGAATTGTTCTTTTGTTAATTATTTAACATTTACTCTTATAAAAGTCGATCCCCTTTTGAAGATATTATCTAAAATAATTGCCGATCGGATGAATCTCTTACACACTGTGTGAAGCTGTACTCGATTTTCCTATTCATTCCACTAAATGCTGCATATTATATACGTACACGGTACAGTTTATGGAAATGATGCCCTCTTCAAGGTATTTTTACAAATATAAAGTTTTCGTCTGGACATATTAAACCAGACTAAAATTCGATTTATTTTTGATATAAAAGTGAAAAAAAAAACGATTGCAACTTTGTTATGTGAAAATGGACAGAAATGGTACCCTCTTGAATTTTTTTTTACACAAGTTGACATATCTAACTTGAATACAATTTGATTTTTTTTTGGTATAAAAGTGAAAAAAAAAAGATTGCAACCTTGCTTCAAAGATAATATACATACATCAATGAATGTTAAAATGGATTACCCTCCGTAACCATAGGCCACCACTGTATACATACATTTTTACACAAAATAATACCAGATAAACTTTATTGTTGACATAAATTATTTCAAATCATTTTGCCATTCATGATTTTTGTTTATTAAGCTAGTCATATTTATATTTTTATATTGTGATACTAGTGATTTTTGACTGTTATTTTTCTGTTTGTTTGTTGTTATAACCAGTTGCATATTATATGCCTTGGTTTAATAAAAAACTGAAACTGAAACTGATTGTCAGAAAATGAGGTTACACTAAAACTTGTTGAAAAAACAAGTTAATTGATAAAATTTTCGCGGGAAAATCGCTGGAGATTAATATTATGGGTCTTTTCCCGATACTTTTAAATAAGTTATACCTGTGTTTTCTTTATAAGAATGATAATTATTCATTAATTTTACCTTTTCCTAAATTGTAATTTAATAGCCATATTATTTAATCTTTGATGCAAACAATCACTGTTTATTTTTTCTTTTGTTTTTGTTCCTTTTTTCTCCTTTGTAATTGTCCGTGCTATATTCCCTTTTAAACACCCAAATGAGTTTATTAATTGTTGCTCTCTTTAATCCAACTTTCAAAACAAACTCCAGGCTCCAGGACCTGTTGATTACACACTATACATGTATACAGCAGGTGACGTAGATTTTTCTACGTACTACACTGCCATATATGGTAAGTACACACGACTGTGTGACAGGTGTAACATAATGATCTATTATTATGCTGGCTAGTGAATGGAGTTAATTAACTGGGTTAATACAGTATGGTTTGTTGGTCAAGTGGCAAGGTAATCTAAATTTTCAAGTGTACCCCTAAAATTTAACAAAAAACAAACAAACAAAAAAGAAAAAAAAAACAAAAAAAAAACAAACAATAACAAAAAACCAAAGCTAAAAATTCTGCTGTTAGTCATTTAATTTCAAATATTTATATTCTAACCAGATTAATATTATTTGCAGGATAATTCCTTTTATTCAATAGTAATGAGAAATGGATTTGCTACACCCCTCCCCTCTTTGTGCATTTAGAATCTGACAAGTCAGGACCAGTAAATGAAATCTTAGGTGGTCATCAAAAAAGTTGGTAATCATTGATTTTACAAATATAACACCTATACTTGCAGTGTAAATTGCATTTTCAAATAACATTGAAATACTGGTATTGAGACTAATTTTGTTCTATTTTCTCAAAGAGCTAGATCTGTCAAGTAATCATATTGCACAGTATATATTTTTCTCAGACCACTTGTTTTATTAAAGGTATTGTCACCTTTTTCCAGACATTGTTAATTTCAGTAAATAAGGAACAAGTTCAATTATTTTGTTTAAAGATGAAATAAATGTAAAATAAACAACAACAAAAGTGTTACATTGTATGTCTGTTATCATTTGAAATATTAAACAAAGAAAATATCAACAGAATACATTTGCCTACATATTTTAATTTGTCTAAATACAATGCACAGTATATCATGGGAGACAATATACTGTGTATTGCTATACTTTATTTACAATTTCAAACAAGAGGGCCATGATGGCCCTAGATCGCTCACCTGATTTATCAAACTCATCCAAACATTACCTAGACAAGCATTCTGACCAAGTCTCATGACAGGTGAGTCAAAAATGTGACCACTACAGTGTTAACAAGGATTATCCATATTTGAGCAGTGCGACCTAGTTTTTTACCCAGGTGACACATATTCAAACTTTACCTAGAAATCATCAAAACAAACTTTTTGACCAATTTCAAGGATACTTGGATCAAAACAGTAGCAACTAGAGTGTTAACAAGATTTTTCTATTTTTAGCTCCGGTGACCTAGTTCCACATGCGATTTCGAACTCATCCAAGCAATTACCTATACAAGCATCCTGACCAAGTTTGATGATAATTGAGTCGAAAATGTGACCACTAGAATGTTAACAAGGTTTTTCCATATTTGGGCGGTGTGACCTAGTTTTTTTCATCCAAGATGACCAATGTTCGAACTTGACTTAGAAATCATCAAAACAAACTTTCAGACCAATTAACAGAATATTTGGATCACAACAGCAGGCTTTCTACTGCCTCTACCAAAAAAACTAGGGAAAAAGTAGGGCATTTTTTTACCAAAAAGTAGGGCAAAGTAGGGATTTCTAATGTTAAAAACTAGGGATAAAGTAGGAATTTCTTACCGTTTTAGTTAAGAATTAGCAAAACATACAATCACCAAGACCACATCAGGCTGTGTGTATCTTCAGTTCAGTCCATGCTTGAAAGACAGGCACCTCATAGGCAGAATATTGCTGAATGTTTTGCCAAGGCACCATGAGCAGAGCTGCATCAGTACTAAGGGTGTAGTACTTAAGTACCAGTACCAGTACTTGCCAAGTTTTGCAGTACCATTTCCAGTACTAGTACTTGATTTTAGCTTGGTACTGCAGTACCAGTACTTTTTTGGGGGAAGTAATTAAGTACCAGTACTAATACTTTTATATATTCATCAAAGTTTGAATAAATACACAGTGTCATTCAAAATAATTGCAAACATTATTCAACAAAGAAATAAAATCATTTACTTTAAAGTTGACATTACATTTTTACAACTAAAATGAACAAACATACTTTTTACAAACAATAATCATCATATATTCATGTCATATGTTATTGTTTTGTAACCAGTCAACTGTAATACAATGCAATAATCTTACATTTTAAACCCACCAGTCTTTTTGTTGCCTTTTACACCTTCACACCTCTGTTCAATTTATACCAAAGTAAATAACTTTTTTATGGTGCTAACAATATCACTTGAAATATGATTATTTAGAATAGAAGTAATTAATTAGTGTTTATTTTGCTCTTTTTTACTAGTAAATACAAAGTAATAAGATTGCAATAAGGATATTTTACCAGTAAAGAGTTATTGACTCTGTTTATCTCAATTTAATTTTACTTTAAGTCTTTGGTGCTTTTTTATGATGAATATTATGTTAACATTTGAAGGAATATTGCAGCAAATTATTTATAGATTTGATAACTTACTTTTTCACAAAAATAAAATAATACATGGAATTTACAGCTTTACTTTATGAGTAAAAATAATGACATTTTTATCAAAACCAAAAATAATGCCTAGTAATGCAGTAGCAGTACCACTTTTTTAAGACAGTAATGCAGTACCAGTACCCGAGTAGTAGCAAAATTTTGTAAGAGTAATTCAGTATCAGTACCAGTACTTGCAAAATTGCTCAAGATACTGCAGTACCAGTGCCAGTAATGCAGCTCTGACCATGAGTTTTTCAAGGATGGACATCACAAGGAGACACTAACACACCTTAACTACTCATCAATTGCAACTGAAAATACAACTGAAATACCATCAGGGCTCTCGATTGACACGGGGATCCGGGTTTTGACTCGTGAAAATCGGGAAATGCACATATTTGACACGTGATAAAATCTGCTCAAGAGTCAATTTGCCACATGGGATTTTCAGCTATGCAATAATAATTACCTTAAATCCACCCCTAATTATCAAATCCTACATGTGTTCAAATCACTCTCATAAACAAGAGGGCCATGATGGCCCTAGATCGCTCACCTGAATTATCAAACTCATCCAAACAATTACCTAGACAAGCATTCTGACCAAGTCTCATGACAGGTGAGTCAAAAATGTGACCACTACAGTGTTAACAAGGATTATCCATATTTGAGCAGTGCGACCTAGTTTTTTACCCAGGTGACACATATTCAAACTTGACCTAGAAATCATCAAAACAAACTTTCAGACCAATTTCCAGGATACTTGGATCAAAACAGTAGCAACTAGAGTGTTAACAAGATTTTTCTATTTTTAGCTCCGGTGACCTAGTTTCACATGCGATTTCGAACTCATCCAAGCAATTACCTAGACAAACATCCTGACCAAGTTTGATGATAATTGAGTCGAAAATGTGACCACTAGAATGTTAACAAGGTTTTTCCATATTTGGGCGGTGTGACCTAGTTTTTCATCCAAGATGACCCATGTTCGATCTTGACTTAGAAATCATCAAAACAAACTTTCAGACCAATTAACAGAATATTTGGATCACAACAGTAGCCACTAGAGTGTTAACAAGATTTTTTCTATTTTTAGCTCCTGTGACCTAGTTTTTCATCCGAAATGTCCCATGTTCGATTTATTCCCAGCAATGACCTAGACAAGTTTCCTGACCAAGTTTGATGACAATTGAGTCAAAATTGTGACCACTAGAGTGTTAACAAGGTTTTTCTATTTTTAGCTCCTGTGACCTAGTTTTTCATCCGAGATGACCCATGTTCGAACTCATCCGAGCTATCACCTAGACAAGCATCTTGATCAAGTTTGATGATGATTGATGCAAAAATGTGACCGCTAAAGTGTTAACAAGGTTTTTCTATTTTTAGCTCTGGTGACCTACTTTTTCATCCGAGATGACCCATGTTCGAACTCATCCAAGCTATCAACTAGATAAGCATCCTGACCAAGTTTGATGATGATTGATGCAAAAATGTGACCACTAGAGTGTTCACAAGGTTTTTCTATTTATAGCTCCGGTGACCTAGTTTTTCATCCGAGATGACCCATATTCGAACTCATCCGAGCTATTATCTAAACAAGCATCCTGACAAAGTTTGATGATGATTGGGTCAAAAATGTGACCACTAGAGTGTTCACAAGGTTTTTTCTATTTTTAGCTCCTGTGACCTAGTTTTTCATCAGAGATGACCCATGTTCGAACTCATCCAAGCAATTGACTAGACAAGCATTCTGACCAAGTTTGATGATGATTGGTTCAAAAATGTGACCACTAGAGTGTTCACAAGGTTTTTCTATTTATAGCTCCTGTGACCTACTTTTTCATCCGAGATGACCCATGTTCGAACTCATCCAAGCTATCACCTAGACAAACATCCTGACCAAGTTTGATGATGATTGGGTCAAAAATGTGACCTCTAGAGTGTTCACAAGGTTTTTCTATTTTTAGCTCTTGTGACCTAGTTTTTCATCCGAGATGACCCATGTTCGAACTCATCCGAGCTTTCAACTAGATAAGCATCCTGACCAAGTTTGATGATGATTGAGGCAAAAATGCGACCGCTAGAGTGTTCACAAGTAATTGTGGACGGCCAGACGGACGACGGACGACGGACATTCACCGATCCTAAAAGCTCACCCTGAGCAAGCTCAGGTGAGCTAAAAATGTCAACAGGCAGTATAAGCCGTGTATAAAATGCTTTACACACGGGTTTATACCCTGTGCACTGAAGCGCGACAATTCAGTGGCTGCAATTTGACAGCGCTAAAAATAGCTCTACACAACTGATAAGAATTACATACTTGAGGTGTCAATTATTGATTGCTTTTAAAGGTTTATAATACGTCTTTGATTTACTTGGAGTACCTGTGCATTTGTTATAAATATACCTGGTACATTTTGGTATTTAAAATTAATATGATATAGCATACCAGTACAGATATTTTTTTTATATTTCATACATTTAATCAGAAATTCTTTCACAGCAATTCATGTTTTTGTTTTATTTGTTTTTTGTTTTGTTTTTAGGTGGAGGGGGTATAGACATTTATAATTAGGCATTTTTTTCTGTCAATTTAGACTTTGGAATCTCCAAAAGTGACCTCCAATACAGTTATTTTTGTAACATAAAAATGACTCATGTAGTCAAATGACACTAGAAAAAAATTATTTGACTCATGTAAATTTTAGCCAAAGAGTCTTTGACTCGTGAAATTCTGACCCTACTGAGAGCCCTGACCATTTTTAAATATCTTCTTTTTTTCATTTCATTTCAAAATGAAAAAGTAGGGATAATAGGGCTATTTCAGAAAAAAGTAGGGCAAAGTAGGGATCAAAAGAAAAAAGTAGGGAAAAGTAGGAAAAGTAGGGACCAGTAGAAAGCCTGCAACAGTAGCCACTAGAGTGTTAAAAAGATTTTTCTATTTTTAGCTCCGGTGACCTACTTTTTCATCCGAGATGACCCATGTTCAATTTCTTCCCAGCAATGACCTAGACAAGTTTCCTGACCAAGTTTGATGACAATTGAGTCAAAATTGTGACCACTAGAGTGTTAACAAGGTTTTTCTATTTTTAGCTCCGGTGACCTACTTTTTCATCCGAGATGACCCATGTTCGAACTCATCCGAGCTATCACCTAGACAAGCATCTTGATCAAGTTTGATGATGATTGATGCAAAAATGTGACCACTAGAGTGTTAACAAGGTTTTTCTATTTTTAGCTCCGGTGACCTACTTTTTCATCCGAGATGACCCATGTTCAACTCATCCGAGCTATCAACTAGATAAGCATCCTGACCAAGTTTGATGATGATTGATGCAAAAATGTGACTGCTAGAGTGTTAACAAGGTTTTTCTATTTTTAGCTCCGGTGACCTACTTTTTCATCCGAGATGACCCATGTCCGAACTCATCCGAGCTATCACCTAGACAAGCATCTTGACCAAGTTTGATGATGATTGATGCAAAAATGTGACCGCTAGAGTGTTAACAAGGTTTTTCTATTTTTAGCTCCGGTGACCTACTTTTTCATCCGAGATGACCCATGTTCGAACTCATCCGAGCTATCACCTAGACAAGCATCTTGACCAAGTTTGATGATGATTGATGCAAAAATGTGACCGCTAGAGTGTTAACAAGGTTTTTCTATTTTTAGCTCCGGTGACCTACTTTTTCATCCGAGATGACCCATGTTCGAACTCATCCGAGCTATCACCTAGACAAACATCCTGACCAAGTTTGATGATGATTGAGGCAAAAATGTGACCTCTAGAGTGTTAACAAGGTTTTTCTATTTTTAGCTCCGGTGACCTAGTTTTTCATCCGAGATGACCCATGTTCGAACTCATCTGAGCTATCACCTAGACAAGCATCTTGACCAAGTTTGATGATGATTGATGCAAAAATGTGACCGCTAGAGTGTTAACAAGGTTTTTCTATTTTTAGCTCCGGTGACCTACTTTTTCATCCGAGATGACCCATGTTCGAACTCATCCGAGCTATCACCTAGACAAACATCCTGACCAAGTTTGATGATGATTGAGGCAAAAATGTGACCTCTAGAGTGTTAACAAGGTTTTTCTATTTTTAGCTCTTGTGACCTAGTTTCTCATCCGAGATGACCCATGTTCGAACTCATCCGAGCTATCAACTAGATAAGCATCCTGACCAAGTTTGATGATGATTGAGGCAAAAATGTGACCGCTAGAGTGTTAACAACTAAATGTGAACGGACGACGGACGGACGGACGACGGACAATCATCGATCCTAAAAGCTCACCCTGAGCATGCTCAGGTGAGCTAAAAAAAAATTAAAAAAAAAAAAAAAAATCCCCTACCTACCTACCCACCTCTTGAACATAGGGTCGGAGCACTACAAACAAACAATTTTTTAAGGATGGCCCAATGTAATAATATATTTCACACAAGAGTGATCAATGATCACATGTGTCGCCTCATGATGGCCAATTTCATGTTAGGACAAGTTTTGTGACAGACAGACAGTGCACAACAAAACTTGGTACTAATCATTCCTGGATAAAATTGCACCAGTAGTTTATGAGGAGTAGTCCGGCCAAGCTTTTGTGTATCTGGCAACACACAGAAAAAAAACAACATTTTAATCAAAGGGCCATAACTCGGCCAAAAATCATTCAACCAGAAAACCTGTGCAATATGCGCAAGGACTTATGCTACAGATCAATCCTGTAAAGTTTCATTGAAATTGCATTAGTGGTATAAGAGAAGTAGTCCGGACAAACTTTAAAACTAAAAATTATTAAAGGGTCATAACTGACAAAAATCATTGAACCGGAAAATGCTGACAATATGCACAACTAGACTTGGTACTGATCATTCCTGTAAAGTTTGGATGCAAATGCACCAGTACTTTATGAGGAGTAGTCCGGACAAGTTTTGTGACGGACGGACAGACAGACGACGGAGAAGTGATCACTATATGTCGCCACTACTCCGTAGAGGCGACACAAAAATTGCATCAACCAAGATTTATAAGCTTAAAGCAACTACCGAACTATTTTGTAAATTCTTGGCCGTCATCACTACTTTCAGTATTTGTATCCTAGCAATTTAGAGCCATTCATCAGTGCTCGACTAGATAAATTGAGATTTTGGGTCTTTAAGTTTTCACTGCAACATTTACACCTGCATTTTTCTTTGCTGTATTTTGATGATAATTCCTTTTTTTCAAAACTTTGAATGTTTTTTCCACATAGATATCCATTCTATTGATTTTACAACATTTTTATCCTAACTACCTATAAGTATGATACAAACAGCAGGACAGGGCATATTCTGGACATAAATTCACTAATTTGACCCCCAAGTTTCGTGGTCAAGTTCAATTAAATCTTTTTTCATACATGCTAAATATCTAATTCTCAGCACTGCACACACAAGAAAACAAATAAGTCATTCTATGTAGCTAAATAAAAAAGTCCAAAATAAGATTTAAGACCCCCCCCCCCCCCCAAAAAAAAAACATTTGCAGAGTTCTAGATAACATCTTTAGCTATGTCATTTTAGATTCCTTGTATTAGTAATTAGCTAAACTGATTCATACCTTTCCTTCAACACATACAAGGAAATCATCTTCACCCTCATAATGCATGGGGAATGCATCTGTGAACATTTCATCCCCTGAAAATAAAAAGTAAAAAATTTCATCCACAGTTTAATCCTTGGGCATTCCAGGTTCTTTTGTGTGGATAAGTTGGTCTATTTCACTTACCATACATGCCATATCCTCCCAGAGGTCTAAGACTTTTCTAGAAATAAGGGGACTGTCAGGACGTGTGGCAAGATAAGATTAAATCATTTATATCCTGGTAAAAATAAAATCTGAAATAATCTCCTTTAATGGAACAATTATCCCTAGACTGTAGACAGCGTAGCAATATACAGGAAATCATTTGATCAAATGGTTAATCTATCAGGGCTCTAGCTAGACCAAAATTTTAGGGAGAAGTGACTTCTCCCTCAGCTCCTATCAGGGAGAAGTTTGACGACATAAGGAGAAGTGAAAAAGTGCTTAGTACATTGATTTGATCTATAAAAAGGAGTTTTACCTATTTATTGATAGTGATATTTGAAGTATAAGTTCTAAAACCCTCTATCATCAGACCATTATAATGTTTTCTTCCTGATTAACTCCACACACCCCCCTCCCTTAAGAAAATATTCATTGTACAACACATACTGGCAAAATTCTCAATGAAAATTGATGTAAACGATACCTTAAGGAATTTTCATTAATAAACTACATTTTAAGTGCTATTGGACACATTTTAACAAAACAATTTTTCCTTTTGGTAACTATAATTTTCATCGTAAAAATCGGCATCGCGAAAATATGTGACAAATGAAAATTTGTCTGTTTCCTGCAGAAACACTTACAATTCTAGTTGTTGTTGATTTTGATTATATTTAATTGAATATTCAATGATTATTTTTAGATTGTTATTCATCCGCTATTGCAACAGGCATTGTAAAACAAAATTTTCAAATTTGTAGTTTACCGCTTAATTTACCGACGTTTATGACAACTTGGTCTAATGTGGGTCAATGTTTTTTAAGTTCTTTAACAAATTTCATTTTTACTATCAAACAGGTATCAAACCATTTACTTGTGCTTCTGTGTGTATTAATTTATATGCAAGTAAATTTACACGGTCTGTGTGAGGTTGCGTGTAATTTAACTGTCAAATATGGTAAAAGCAATTCTGGGTGTAATCTTTTTACACTCGCTGATAAGATATTGGCAGCTGTCGTAAAATTATGCCTAAAAAATGTGATGTTTACATCGGCGAATTTCCGATGCATCTGCATATCATGTCACTTAAATGTGTTAATTGATGTCAATTATCGGCAGTAACTGCATGTGCGTCACCAATTCAGTTTGATTTATGCCTGGAGGCGAGGATTAACTTAATTAACATGCACTGTATGATTTATATGTACATGTGGTCAGTAAAAAAATGCGGCGAAATCGTTTTCGCTTTGATGTTCAAACTCGGCGAAGTTCTGACACTTTAGGCGACTAAGTTTAGGCGACTAAGTCGCCGAAATCGCCCAGTTGCTAGAGCCCTGATCTATGAAGACCCTTCAAACAATTATATTCTATTATTTAGATCCATTAAAAGCTGAGAGCAGTTATTTCGCATGTTGTGTTGTTTATCCGAAGTGTCTGTGGTCCGCACAAACTTTAGAATTAAAAATCATTTAAGGGTCACTACATTTGAAGTGGAAAATGCCAACTATATGCACTAGACTTGGAACTGATCATAATGTTGGATTTTTCTGAAAAGTTGGATGGAATTGCACTGGATCAGTAGATCTAGTTTTTGGTTTAAGCTTGATTGCGAAACAAGTTGTTGCAACTGTCACAGGGTGAGAAAAATGTGCAGCCTGACCGGGACTCTAACCTGGACCCTCGGAATAACGTACTGCGGCTCAACCGACTCAGCTATCAAGCCGCTTACATACCGGTATATATCTTCTCCCCTATAAAGTGAACAGTTCTGAACCTTGACACAACTTAATTACTTATACGGGGAAGTCAAAGACCGGGCCCGCGAAGCGGGTCCGGGCTTTGGCTTGCCGGGCTATAGACTACACGTGAATATTTAAAAGAAAATCAAATAAAAAACATTTAAAAAATATATAGAATTCTATACCTATAAATAAAATTTTCAGTGTCAGTTCTAGTCGGGCGCCGCCATTTACAATGTATGTCAATGATAATAGGCAGGGTATTCCGATAACGGAACAAATCTCAACTTTTTGGATTAGTAATAATCGTTGAGTGTTCCGAGTGAAAACGGAAGCGGTGTATGTAATATCGAATGACACCTTTAAAACGGAAAGAATGAAAGGATTTTTTAACGACTTCCCGTTTCTCGGCTTTGCCTAATTTCATATCAATAGGCGGGGTATACCGATAACGGAACAAATCTCAACTTTTCGGATTAGTAATAATCGTCCAGTGTTCAGAGTGAAAATGGAAGCGGTGTATGTAATATCGAATGACACCTTTAGTTTAAAACGGAAAGAATGAAAGGAGTTTTTAACAACTTTCCCGTTTATAGGCTTTGCCTAATTTCATATTATTATTCACTTTCGAGTCCACTTCCTGGAACCAACCAGTACTGCTGTCAAATGTAGAAACATGGTCGTGAGGCCATCCATAAAAAAATGTTTGTTTGCAGTAACCCGACCCAGATTTTTCAAGGTGGGTAGGTAGGTCGATTTTTTTTTTATTATTGAACTATACTCCCAAATAAACATGGAACTTCAAAATGCTGGACAATATATGCTTTGATAATCTGGTAACAATTAATAAATTGATAACTGAATTCTAATTTAATAAGACCTACATTTTATTTCTTCTATTAACCTTTAAAAGAACGAAAACAAAGCACAAGGCATAATTTTCTGATTCCAAAAAAATAAATTTTTTATCCAGACCATGAAAAAAATTTTTGAGTAGGGGCAAATTTTGTGAGTCGGTCGCGTTACTGCAAACAAACATTTTTTTTAGGATGGCCTGACCCAAGTAGGACTCGATCTCATGTTCTCTGGGTTGAGACTGAGGCCGACACCTTAACCACTAGCCCACCGTTCCCCTTAAGCCAAGGTAATGATCTAATTTTTGAGGAGACATTTACGTCTATCAAGATTTGTGACGGGCAGACAGACTTTTTTAATCGCCACTACTCTGTAGAGGCGACACAAACTTGTCGTTCGTGTGGAAAAGAGTCAACTCGGCCCTATACCAACTCGGCACGGGTCAACTCGGCCCACTTTAAAAAAATATATTTAACGTAGTAATATTTAAAAAAATATCAAACAAAAACATGTTTACTTAATATCATAATTAAGCTTCTAATTAATTGCAGGTGGTCAATAATCAATTTTAAATGAATGCGTCAATCATAATTATCACCTAATTAATCGGTATCCTTACGAACACACTGATTGATAATAATAGCCTGTGACAATAAGAGTCCCTTTAATGTCTTTAACCAATTTCATTTAATTTGTTTGTAATTGTCAAAAGCTGAAAATTAAGTCCGTGTATTATACATAATTACAAATATTACAAAAAATAGTGATTACACAAACCTAAATATAAATAATTGAAAAGTGGGCCGAGTTGACCCGTGCCGAGTTGGTATAGGGCCGAGCTGACTCGGGGGCCGAGTACGTTTTAGGGCCGAGCTGACCCGGAATCGTTCGTGTTGCTGACATTTATCAAATCGTCAACGGCAAAATTATAATTTATTTTATGTTTTTTATTAATAAAAATCTGTAACAATTCCTTCATTTTGAAATCGAAATAAATCCATAACATTTGTTTATGAGTCAGGAAATGAAATGACTGTGAAAACAGGCATGATTATATCAACCTGTCAGAAAATCGCATTAATTTGACGTAGTTTTTCTAAACTTTATATCTAGTCGAATATTAAAAAAAAAGAAAAGAAAATACGCTTGTTTGAAATATCTATACGAAAAGAAAGGTTTATAGAATGATAAACAAATATATAAAGAATTTCTGACCTGTCATTAAGTCCTTGTAAAGAATCATTTTGATCGGATTATGTTAGATTTTAACCCAACTGAAATCAATTTCAGCGAATTTCGTAAGAACGAACCGGAAAAGGAAGTTATCGGTTGCGCATGCGAAATTCACATTTCAGGCAATTCGTGTTGGGTTCACACCACTAATAGTGAAATAAAAAGAGAAAAGTATTGGACCCACTTTAAATAATATCAAGGTTAGTTTTTTAAAAATCTAGTAACGGCTCGCTTTGTCATTTCTATTTCATTGGGCGTGTTTAAATGTCAAATTGACAGTTCTCTCTCAGTTTTACAACAACTTGGATAATTATAAAATTACAAAGAGGAACAAATTACATTCATTATAAAGGGGCCAGTGACATGAGGACTAGATATATCAAGATGTATCCACACAGAACGAATCATGTCCCAATGTATGCGCACTTTCCCTTTATGGTACGTTGAATTTTTGATATATCAAGTCTCAGAGACCTTGACCTTTTGACATGAAATGTATGTGGCAGGTTACTAGAACTCATCAAGGTGACTCCGAAAATGAAGTTTAATTGTAACAGGTTAATAAGTATTGGAATGAGTCCTATACAAGTCTATTTAAATCACGTACTCCATTGGGTAGGCCAGGCCAAAAGTATAGGGTCCCCCCATAAATTACATCATGTAAACTTCAATTTGCATGGTTTGTATAAAATGCATTATAGTGAAGCGGCATTATCCTCCAAATAGTGTTATCTTCACTTGCAGACTGCCGTAAACAACTTGTTTACAATTATTGTATGTAAGCACTGTAGAATGTTTGAGGTAAAATCCTCTGAAGTCATTTTGCAAAGAAAATTGGTTGGCTACCCTTAGATCTATATAACAAGATCATTTTTATGTGTAAACCATTTTATTCATAGAAATAATCACCTCTTTAGCATGATAACTCAATTTTAAAGTGGAATAAGGGACCATTTCTCATAATGTCAGTCTATGGGAAAATCAATACAATAGTCTGATCTTCTTCACGGGGAAAAACCACAGGATCCTCCACATCGGAGAGTGAATTTATTCAATACAGAAAGGATAAAATGACCCGAAAATAAATGTAAAAAAAAGAGAAAAAATGCACAATCAGATGAACCCTTATGTTAAATAACCAAACGAAAGCTTACTTTAGAGAAGACTGGTGAAATAAAGTAAATTAAACGTCAGCGTAAATATGATTGATTAACATTCACTAATATTTGTTTATTTCTACATGATCATATCTTTGCGTTCAAAGCAATTCTTACTGCATTTTTAAAAATGGCGTTTTAAACCGCTATGTAAATTTAAATTTGATTGGTCAAATAATTTTTTGAGTCCAGCTTAGACAGGTTAATAATGTAAAAGCTGGAAGCCAAGCCTCGGTTAAAGTTCGGATAAATTTGGAGTTTTAGGTTCTCAGAAAAATCCGGAATGATTATAAGAATCTTACACTGGCTGCCGGTACAGACCGGAATATCTAGCTCGAGGGTAACTGTTTACGGCGGTAACGAGGCTCTGCCGAGTTTCCGCTTAAACAGTTACCCGAGATCTAGATATTCCCGTCTGTACCGACAGTCGGTGTTTGATTCTTTTTCTTGCATATTACATACCAATTATTTTCAGAACAGAATTAACGAATACTGATATTTTCATTACGTACTTTTTTCTCATAGTAGCGTATGAACTTACAACTTCATTCATAACGGTTAAGTGACGTCATCCTAAGAACGAAATTCATTCATAAAAGGCGCGCAGCAATGACGTCATTTAAAGCACGCGACTTGTCTTACATGGGGGGTGTAAGACAGGGTTTTCTAGCACCGCTGTAAACGGTAGATAATCCTGTCTGACATGCAAGAAAAACACTTTATTTCATGAAGGTAACATTTAAAGAAATACAATTAACAAACTGACCTTAAATCAAACAAGGTAAAGAAGCACAGATCTATCTACTGTACACACACACATCAAATATAAATACAAACATTTAAATCGACAGACGCATGCATTCTTCAGATTCATCAGACACGTGTATAACAGAATAGTTATGAACTATGTAAATCTTATATTTCGTAGTCGCCATCTTGGGTTACTTTCGCGTGCGTTCTTTCTACATAGCCCAGGCTACTATTTGGGATATTTGCCATATTTATCGGGGTTACACGACTTACCGGAATCGGCCGAATTACCGGAATCGACCGGAATCGGCGGTGAATTACCGGAATCGACCTGTAACTTTGTAATAATTAAACTTTTTAAGTTTTTTTTTCTTGCAATTTTATAAAATATAAACAATATCAATGATTTATGAAAAGATTTTTATAAATAAAATCGCTTTTGATTAATTTAACAAGAGATCTAATATCGGCGAGCTACTGACAAACTGCCCGTGACCGGAATCGGCCTGTTATTTCGTTGTTTATGCAACTTTTAATGTTCCTTTTGCATGTTTTTATAAAACCTAAATATTATCATTAATCTTCCTAGAGATTGTGAAAAAATCGCTTTTAAATAATGATAATAATAAACAAATATTTATGATCAGCGAAAACGGGCAAACTGCCGGAATCGGCAAAGGATTACCGAAATCGGCCAGTAATTTGCTTATCTATATACTTTAAACAAAATGTTTGCACCCTTGATTATAAATAAACAATAGCAATGATATGTAATCAGAGTATTGTCAATAAAATAACTTTTTATTAATTAAACAAGATATTTAATATCGGCGAGTTACTGCCATACTGTCGGAATCGGCGAAGGATTACCGGAGTCGACGTATAATTTAGTCTATTGTACTTTTTAACGTTTTCGTTGCATTGTTAATATTCATCTTATAAAATATAAATATTATGAAAGATATTTAAAAGTTTCTTTCTTTCTTTTATTTTGTAAATTTCAATTCGCCTTTGGTTAATAAAGCAAGAGATCGAAGATCGGCGAGTTACATATACTGTCATACAGCCGAAATAGGCGAATGATTACCGGAATCGGCCTGTATTATTGTAATTTATGGACTTTGCAAGAAAAAAATGCAAACAATATAATAGATATCTAAAAAGATTTCTGTAAATGAAGAATCCTTATTAAATAATAAGCTAGAGATCTAAGGTCGGCGAATTACTGCCATATCGCATAATTATATGCAGTGCCAGGGCTATCGGACAATTACCGGAATCGGTCTGTTTTTCCCCACCAATATTTCAACGTTTGAAAAATAACCTTGACTTATTTTATTAAATACAAACGATTTTTATAATGTTTATTGAAAAGAAGCAAAAGATTTATGAAAAATTACTGTTATAAATAATAAAAAGATTAATATTGAAGATCGGCAAAAACGGGAAACCTGTCGGAATAGGCGATAGATTACCGGAATCGACCTGTAATTTGGTTATTTGTGAACTTTTTGAATATTTCTTTTGAATGTTTTATATAAGATATAAGTATTTTCAACGATATTCATTTTTGTAAGTAAATTTGCTTTTGATTAATAAAACAAGAGACCTAAGATCGGCGAATTACTGTCATTCTGCCGATATAGGGGAAGGATGGGCGGAATCAGCCTGTAATATAGTTATTTTTATGTTATTTTATTGAATGAAAATAATATCATTGATATAAAAAGATTTTTTGAGAAATAAAGATCACTTTTTTACTATAAACTAGATATCTAAGATAGACTAATTACTATCATAGTGCCTGAATTAACAGGTAAATACAGGAATTAGTCTGTTATTTTGTTATATTTCAGCGTTTTAAAAATATCTTGCCATATTTTATTAAATACAAACAATTCAAATGATATTTAATAATATTTATTGTAATCGCTATTACATAATAAACAAGGTGGTCTATGATTTCTTCCATACCACCGAATCGACGAGCGATTACCGGAATCGGCTTCACTTCGTCTAGGATTACTGGAATCGGTTCTAATTTTGTTATGAATGTGAACTCAATATTATTATTATCATTTATTTTTGCATGTATTTACAAACATTATCATTGATCTTTTATGGAATAATGCAATATCGTCTTTACATTATATTTTTTCAGGACATTGCTAACAGAGGATTGTTTGAAATGACGGATAACAATAGGTCAGTTTAGTCTTTCTTTATGTTTGCATAACTCAATTCTTGATTTCATAAAGTAGTCGATTTATAATTACATGCAATAATTTTTATTTGAATCTTTATTTAAACAATACAAACCTCATGAAATGTTCACATGAAATCAATGTTTTACCAGGCAGTTAAATCCAACTTACTTGACAGTTCATGGTCATTCTGGAGTATCAAATCAATTGTCGTCATTTGCGTTATTGGTGCACCATAAAAATATTACAAAGATTGCAAATAAGTCAATCGTTGAAACATAGATTCTTTAGTCTTAAATAGTAAACAAATCATATATACCCGTAACGTATAAAACAGTGAGATATGGATGTTAACTATACACGCACAGATGATACTGTCACTTTATTGGAAGTAAACGAGCTGTATATTGGGAGCTGTGTATTGGGAAGTGTGATATACTACAAAACAGTGGGGTGCCAATATACGGTATGCTGATATATTTCATAGTGGGAGAGACTATCTGTTAGAGAATGCCTGTTGTTAGGCAAGCTGTAGATGAATTAAGTCATAGGATTTATTGAACTTCATAATTTTTAAAGACTTAAGATTTAGTCAATGTAAAAACTAAACAACAATATAAACACCCTGTATAGATCTTAAGATTCTTTTCAAAGTTTAGCATAATTTCTAACCGTTTGACCCATTTAATTGTTAATTAAAAATGGAAGAAGATCCTTTAAGTAAAGGACTATGATATATACATGTAGTTACTTGTAGAACATCCCAAATAAACACACAATAGTTAAATAATGTGATGTATATATATTTTTTCATCTTTGATTAAATATAAACAATATCAATGATATGTAATCAGATTTTTGTAAATAAAATCTCATTGATAAATGATTAATTAAACAAGATATTTAATATCGGCGAGTTACTGCCATACTGTCGGAATCGGCGAAAGATTACCGAAATCGGCGTATAATTTTGTTATTAATAAAGATTTAAAAAAAAGGTTCTTGCATCTTTATACAATATCAAT